ATGTGCTATGATGCTGCTTTGGCATTGAGTCTTCAAGTATACACTTGTTAATAAGTTGGGAGCATGCTCAAGCATGTCTCATCTCTCAATTTCTTCATTTCATGCGGATTTGACTTGGACATCTCATCATGGATTAGGATATGGAGAAGAGATAAGAGCATAGTGACAGATATTTACAAAACCTTTCAACTTTCCGAAATTACACTGCTTGTATAGTCAATCTGAATCGGATAATTTAAACCTTTGTTTGATTGACTAGTTTTTCACGAAGATCAAGAATGATTATACCCTAAGAATATGGCTATGCAAACATAGAAGTCTTTTTATGAAGACCTAAGAATCTGGCCATGCGGACACAGAGGAGTCTTTTTATGAAACATAAAAGCATGGTAACTCTTTTTATGAAATGACGGAGTAGGTTTATTATGTTCGTACTTTTCTCTTATAGGTCACAATATCAATAGTAGATGAATACAGAATTCGTTTGATTTATGGTCATGTCCATTTGGAATTCCTTTTATTGGGTAATTCAAGGATTGGCTTACGTGACTGCTCACTAGGCTCAATTTGTGCGTTCCGTTTGCGCCAGTTTTGTTGTAATTTCTTAAGGTAAGCAGTTCATCGTTCTTGACATTAAGCATATTTCTTTTTTCATGGATTTATAAAAAAGGCTGTTGTTTAGTTGTGATCTTGCCAAATCCGCCATTTGTGACGAAATTATAAGAAGTTGTGATAAATAGAAACGATCCCCATCTCAATAAATATTTTTGCATGTACGTTTATCAATACATGTCCTTTTTTAGTCCTGAATTGCGAAGTGCGAATGAAGAAAAGTCACCTATTGCCTTTGGATGGACAGCTACCAGTTCTGGGCCTGGATCGTTACAATCTCATCAGGTAATTACTCATGCTGTATGATATTTAATAATTTAATTTTGAGGTGAAATATTATGCATAACTTGAAGTAGACTGCAATGAAATAATCAAAAAAAGAAAATAGAAAAAGAATATTTCTAGCTGATTTTTTCTTGGAATAATTAATTTTTCTACCTCTATTTGTTTTGATTTATTTCACTTGTCGTGTGATTTATGTTTTCAGATGGTTCGCTCTCCGGCATCGAGACTTGTGTCGTCGCCAATGTCACATATGTCATTATCGGTTCCGCCTGTAGATAGCTTTGGTTCTTCCTTGCGGTATTCTTCAGACTGCCGCTCGAAAACTCCAATTTTGCTGGACCATGATTCACTACATTGCATGACATCCGTTGATGAGTCTGGTAGGTTGCTTTTAACAGTCTTAATTACATTTATTCTGATATGTAGTGTTCAAATTTTTTTGTTAAATGCTTCCTTTGTATGTGATGTCATAGAATCTCATATCCATTATTGCTATTCACAACCAATAACGAATGTTTCAGGAAATTGTGCTCTCGATCAATATTTGTTTGCATTAGCGTACTTGTCAAAATTAGGTCCAGCATTAGAGGGATATCGTCGAGAGCATCGTGGGTCAGGTGCTCATCCAGTGATTCAGTTTCGACAACTAATTGTAACTCCAGAAAGTGTTCGGTTATCGGTTTTAGGTGCTGCACCACCAAACCTAAAGCATGAACCATTCTTGGTCAATATGAATATCTATTTGGATGAAGAAACTATGAGTTTAAAAATGAAGTTGGGTTTCGGCAAGTTTTTAAATGACATTCAATTTTTTCGTAATTAAAGAAATGAAGTTCATATCATGACAGGAAAATGGATCACGATGTGACTCCAGGAAGGTACCTCAATCTTTCATTTTTTAACTCTTCAAGAGTTTTTCCCTGCGACGGAACTTAAATTTTCAAAAAATTTGGTATGTGATAGAAAAAAATTGAAATTTTATTGAAATTAGTAATGAAATTTTCATGTTCTTAGATGGTGAAGATATTCCCGCTGAGAGTGATATCCGTACGGCGGAGCTTTATTTCGTTAGATTTGTTGCTCGATTGGGGAATGAAATCGCTGTTGTTGCATTCGCCAATGCATGCAGGCTTGCTGCACCAGGCGCATTCTCGACTATTACCCGCATAATGAATGTACAAATGGTATGTTTTTATGTTTATTTGTAGGTGTAACTAAAATTTACAACATTCGCAATTTTTGGCATCACTATGGCTATTAAGGAAACAGAGAATCCAAATTTATATATTTTTTTTATTTTCGTAAATTGTATATACATACCTTGACTGCAATATCATATTTGTAGAATACGAGAATATTTTCTTGGATGTACTGTTACGAACAAGGCATTTATTTATGTTAACATGTAGTACACTTAACAAAAGAAATATATGTGAAAAGTTATATTCTCAAGGAATAATATTTTTTAAATAATTCTTCCTCTTGATGTTATATTTGAAAACAAAAATGATTATTTCCTTCAAATAGAATTGGGCTGAGGATACTCCTTGGCGTCCATCAATACAACTGGTAATGTGGAGTCAGGAGGGATCAGTGCCAAGAGCACGCATTTCACCTGGCATTGTTATTGATCAAACAAACATCAGTGTTCTGATTTTGGTAAGTCTCTTGAACTTAAAAACTTGGTAACTCCTTGAAGAAACTTATTTTGTCAGACTAGTTTTCTTCTTGTTCAACCTTAATGGATACAAATGTGAAGGTCATAATGTGAAGTCATTTTTTATTTAATTTTTAAAACTTTTAGCTTTGCTTAAGACCAGCTCGTTATAATCCATCAGAAAAAAATGCGGATGCATCGAAACACTTGATACCTCTCATTTACAACACACAAACGTGAGATTTATTGGTTGTAAAGTAACTTAAAAATGAGACTGACTTCATTTCCTATGTTGAAGGAAGTGAACCGAAATCAAGAAAGATTTTTCATTTACTGTTAGGTTCAGTTATTGTACGCAGGCTTCAGCTTATGATCACATTGAGTTTTGATATTTACTGCAAGTTATTTGCTTAACGCAAATGAGTTAGTTAATATTATCCGCTTTACTTCTTGTTATTTCTTTCGTTTACTCTTAAGCGTGAAATGATAACTGCTGTATGTAATTTTGCATGCATAACCATTTGGTTGCTTTAGAAATACCGTAGCCCGACGCAGCAGTGGTGCAGATGATGATGCCAGCAATGCTACAACTGTTTTGTCAAATGTTTCTGAGCAGTACTCCCTGACAAATGAACCAGCTTTGTGGCCAGCAATCTACTCTCTTGCTCATAATTTTGCCGTACAACGATAGCATTCTTATGGTACTTCTTCCTCGGGTTTAAAATGTGTCGAATTTTTCCGGTTATTTTGGATGTAAGCTTTCTTTCCTATATTACTTATTATATTCTGCCTTCTGTATTTTTGAAGTGTGTGTCTTAAATAAATGGAATAGTGTCAAATTTCACTGATTTGGACGTTTCGATTTTCACACACAACTAAGTTCGCGAAAAACTGTGTGAAAAAATGTTTGTGAAAAAAGTAAAAATATTTATACTTATGAAAGGTGGATCCAATCCGTAATAACAATATAAACTTTTAGTATATTTCTCGACCAGTTTATGTATTCGGAGACTGTGAGAATTGCTGCACTGCCTTACTGCTTGTTTATATCGTTTACTGATCTTTTTTCTTTTTAATTTTTCTCACGGTCACTCATTTTTTCTATCATAGGTTGACGGGGAAATTAGCTCAATTTTTAAATTTTGGAACATTATTTAAATGAGATCTTCAAAGTACACAAAACGGTTTTGAAGATTTCTGTTTTCAAAGTTTTGTGATATTAATTGAGTGCGAATGATGTTTGAAGAATGAACATTATTGTATATGAAGGTCTTTTTTTAATAAATTTTAAGATTTCATTGCTATTGGTAGAAAAGATAAGCGAAATCTGGAAATAGCTATTTATAATTTCCTTACTGCTTGTTTATATCGTTTACTGATCTTTTTTCTTTTTAATTTTTCTCACGGTCACTCCGATGACTAACAGTAGTGCATTTTTGTAAATAGTCATTGAAAAAAGACTGGAAATAAATAAATAATAAAATTGGTGATAGATTGCCAAATGGTGGATAATGATGGTCTCGGGTTCAAGTTTGATTTTTCACTTATTCATTTTGTATATGGGCATTTTAATATTCGCCGGGTTATTTTGAAATTCTCGTTTTCCAAATGCATTGTTTAGAGTTGCAGTTGTAATTAACTTGGTTTGTTGTGCATTCTTATTTCATGTATATTTTTATGATTAATATCTCATCTCTTATACATGTTGCTTTTGATGTTTTATGCAGGAATATTTCGAGTGTAATCTCCATGAATCGAGCGTACTCGTCAGGATATGCAGAACATGCTTAAGAGAGAGCCCATTTTTTACGTATCATCTTGCAAAATTCTCATTTGTTAATCTTCACTATTAGAGCGTGGGAAAATTTTTTTACTTTTGGTATTCTTCCTTTGCAAATACTGCTGTTTATTCAATATTGTGCTACAATTTAAAGAATGGAGATAATTACCATAAATAAATATAATATTAATTATTTCTGTAATATAGCCTGTATTATTAATAAGTCAGATATACTTTTCTAAATAGACTTCCGAAACTATGAAGTATTGATTAATTGATAGGATTTTTTGAGCAACGTTGGTTCAGAAATGGAAATTCATCAGTGTGATGCATTTCATTGCTATACTGTAGGTAGGTATAGGGGATCATTGCATCTCTCCCTCTTCTATATTCCTTCCTACTTTATTCTGCACATTCCTTTTTATTTTAGTCGAAAGTTTCATTTTGGTTGGATGGGAGATTGTAGAGTTTTCCTTGCAAATGTCGATTTTTAGGGAACTTAAATAATCAAGTGATTTAGATTGATAGACATTTTCCGTTTGCGTTTTATTATTGTTTATTTATGTAGATTTATAGCACATAGAAGCAGTATATGCATTGTAATTTTGAGTACGTGGTTGCAAAGTGTGTTTCAGATTTATTAACAAAAAATAACTTCGAAATACAATGGGAGCGGCAACATCTGGATTACAGTCGCAAATGCAGCGAGAACATGATCCAAATGCTGCTTTCCCGTGGTGGGTGCGTTTCCTGGCCAAGGGATTGGGTGTACTTGGTGGATTTGTAGCTATTTTCTTCGCTGTACTTGGCTTACTTTCATTATCCGCAACCTGCATCATTGCTGTTTTACTACAGTTGTGAGTTATTCTTAATTTACAGTTTCATTTCATTTCATGTATAACGAAAGTTATTAGTGGGTTTTCTTTTTTTTTTGGGGCATAGGGCACAGTCTGCAAAACTTACGAAAATGGAGGTAGTATATTGGTCTCATTCAGCTTTTTAAGGGTCATAATTCGTTTAACCTTTAAAAAGCTGAATACGAATAAAACCGATATAGTCCAAATATGAAGTAATTCTGGAAATATTTGAAAATTTATAACAGATATTCAAAACTTTTTATAATTAACATCTCAATCCATTTTAAACACTAACAAAGTTAACCTTATTCTTGATTGATTCTATATTGCAGAGCGTTTGGTATACTAACGGTGGCATTAGAAGCTCCGTTTTGTTGCATGTTTATCGATTTCATTGAAAAAATTGCCATGTTTTCGGAATCACGAAAGTATTGGCAGAAAGCAACTCTTTATTGCGTGTAAGTTCCTGATAGTTTCATTCATATTATCCTTTGTTTAGGTGATTCTCTTCAGGGATACCAGGCCAAAAGAGATTAGTACATATAGGAATGCTTCCTCCCAATACTGGCATAAATGGATAAATGAATAGTTGTCACTTTACATGGATTCAGGAATGTCGTTTGTTAGGATTTATTCCTCAATTTTCTCCGGAACGTACGTTTTTTGATATTATTCGAAAACGACATGCAATTAAACTTTTGAAGCATGGGTGTGCTACCAATATTGTTGTGCACTGAGCTGAATACAGTACTTGGTAGTGGAATGATCTTCGCATCGGGCACAGTTTATGGTTTCTTGGCACTTGGCAAAAAAGCGGACTTATCATCGATGGGCGGTACTACGGATCCAGCGTGGAATGCTAACGTCAACCAACAACAGACGCCGGCATCCTTTGGAAATCCATCTGTAGCCTGATTTGACACGCATTTGGAAACTGATCTCAATCTTTTTATTACATTCAAGCCAATTTTTGTTTTCATTAGAAAACGTGACAAGTAGCTTATATCCCTATTCTTTGATCTGAGGTTTTAAGAGAAAAAATATAAGGTTTTTCGCAGAGTATATAAGTATTGATTAAAAGTTTCATAGTGAATCATTAGAATTTCTGATCTGTTTATAGATTGCTGGTCATACTTTCACGCAACTCTGCGAATGTTTTGTTTACATGTTGATAATAATAATAGTGGACGGTAAAGTAGATTTTGTTTTCTAACTTTGAACTCCTGCTAATTTGTGCAATCCTTTCGTCTGATGTTTGTGGCAACGTAGGATGATTTTTCGCTTGTTATTCTTTCTCATCCAGCTGTGGTTTTTTCGCATGTCAATTTTTCAACTTATAATGTTTGTCAGATTTCTTATATGTTACGCACTACGGCGCTGAATTATGTTAAGAGCTGCATGTTTTTCTGAGCTTCTTTTTCGCCTTCCTTGTTCTAACTGTTCTGTCTCTTCATTCTAACGATTGATGTGAATAATAGGACATCTTTTAAGTTACTAAAACCCAGGTTAACGATTCTACGAGAATCCGCAAAAAATTTCATTTAACGCTTTCTGATTAATGTTCCTCCATATAAAATCAGACCAGTGTAAATGCTTCGATTTTGGGAAATCGTTCTCTGAATCCCAAATCCATAGGTATCCTAATTTTTTCTAAAATTGTTTTAATTTCTAGGTATTTGAAGAAATTTTGGCTGTGATGTATACTGAACATCTAATCTGGTTATTATTTTATCATTTTTTCAACCTGTTGCGCTTCTTCCTATCGACCTGTGCATGGTTTGTAATTATTTGCTATATTTTTAGTGACTATCAAATTTCTCATTTAAAGTCTTGCATATTTCTTATACAATGAAACTCTCAAGGAATTGATACATTCAAATTAAAAAGAGATTCATTTTTTAATTATAACCCTGCTCATATTAAAAAAATGATGGTTTCTTTATGAGAATGGGAAAATGTAACATCCATTACTGGCAAAAATCTTAATCATTTTTCGTGAAGAGGATACAAATCTTTTCATTTGTATGTCGTTCCTTCACTCTACACCCTCCCAAGGAAGGACAGAAAGGGAAAGGGATATATACTAAATGAAATGCATACAGTAGTGGTATAGCGGAAGTATCTAGGTGCATTGCCGGAAAAGTTACGGGTCCTAACAGTGGGAAAATAAAGTAAATGAGATCGTTGTTCTTTGCGAAGTTAAGTACAATTAAGAGCCGGGAGTTTCAGAATTTCGTTTAGTGTGGAACGTGATTTAAAACTAAGCGTAAAAAACAATATCGGAGGTCAAAAGAGATCAAAAAGACTGCCTAGCTTCTATTCAGTAGTCAAAAATACACCTGGATGAGGTGCCTACAATCTCAAGAAAATTCCTCTGAGCTCAGGAGGAATTTTCTTGAATTTTCTATAAATACAATACAGAATGAAGGGCAATATAAGAATATTAAGATTTACACAAGATACCGAATCATGCCTTGAAAAACAAGGTACCTGTAGCTCCACAAAAAATCAAGAAACCATAGAATAGTCACCAGAGAGATTTCAAAATTTTCATTTTCATAGTGAACAAAACGAAGCGTGAAATAGGACTGCCAATTTTTGCCAACTCATCCGCCGTTATTCCAACCATTTGGATTGGTTCATGAAGGATTTGAAATTTCTGTAAACATTAAAAGTGAGTTAAGACGTACATGAATGTGCATAGCATATCGATTAGCAGTGATAGTCAAAGGCTTATTGACTCGAACTTAAAACAGTGGCGATTTTAAGAAGTCAGCAACCTTGTTTCTATTCTAATCTTTCAAAATCTTTAGTTTTGCAAATTGCTATTCGAATTTACATGGTGGATAATATAAAAAGGGCGTACGACAAAAAAAAATATCACGTAATTCCAAAGTTCCAGCTGAGAAATTAAGATCACTAACTTTCCACACCTTTTTCCCCAACACCTTACCACTTTTCATTCTAGAATTTATTAGACATATATGGTACAACTGACAACAAAAATTATACAACATACCGTTTCTGGAGTATCTTGTCGGTAAATAACGTAATCATTAACATTTAAACAATTCACAGCCTCATCATGATTCACTGTAAGAGTTTTGTACCGGAAGGTCGCCTCCCTCTCCATCCGCTAGAAACGAATTTGAAAACAAAGATTTCAATTTATTTTAAAATGAGATATGTATGGCTGGACCAATGAAAAAAAAAGACCTACTAGTAATAAAAATGGTAGTGTATTCGGATTGGAGATTGTTCAAATGAGTAAAGAGCGGTTTAACATTAAATCGTTTTTCGCATAACTTAAAAAATAAAGTAATTTATTGAAGAAATACTTGTATAACTTGTTTCGCTTCTTTGGAACTACCTACTGCAAGGACATCGGCCGAAATGAGCGAAACGTAATGTCTTAAAGACTGACTTCCGGGAAGTGTAATTGGCATTACGGCTAAATCGGAAAATGTTCGTGCTACAATCTGAAAATAAACAATGATTACCAAAAAATTTTCCTCATAATAAAGCTTAGAAAAGACCTTCGTTCCACCCAGTAAAAAATTATGCTACTGTTCTTGTTCTTGAAATAATAAAAATGTGTCAGAAATTTAAATAAAATTACCAGTGCTCCCTCCATGTTAGTTCCATTCTTTCGTATACCAACAAACACCTCTTTACCAGTATATAGCACATCACTCCCCTCAAGCACAATTTCTTTATTATGTTCAGAAACTTGTGGTGTTTCGACAACTTGCCAGGCAAGTTGATTAAGCAAGTTGCTAATCTACAAATAATAATTCGTTAATCAAGTATCGAACAGATAAATATATATAATTATCAATGCTTCCTCCATATAACAAATTAAATTTCTTTCAATAGTGGCTGAATAATAAAACAACTCTACTACCCCTATAAATAATGCTACCTCTTTTTTGTCATTAAGATCCGAATATTATGCATATACAGTTCCTTGTAATGAGATCTCCATCAAGTTATTCCACTGTCACTATCTTTGTCATGTAGCTACAATTCAGCCGGTCCTCACAAAGTCACATATTCCACGCAGATACGCAAAAATGACATATTATGAACATAATATTTGTTGGTAACCTCACAAAAAAATTATGGACCTCAAGTAAGCGGCTTCCACTTTTTCTTGGACGAGTAATCAAGGCAGTACCGTTAATGCAAATGGCAGCATCGCCGGTAAACAAACTTTGTTGAACACAACGCTCCTCAGGTGAAAGTTCAATGATATCAACACCAGCCTGGAATGAAAACTTTCCTGAACATCGCAAATTCACAAGAACATTTGCTAGATAATCTATAGTTAGGATGGTCAGCAAAACAAAACATCCTCTTAAATAAAAATCAAACTACTAAATCAGAACTAAAGATTCCGTAAAAGTAGGAGCACTAGTAATCCTAAATGTAATACAACACAAACTTCTCTGATTGTTTCGCAAAGCTCTTCCAATTGCTTCTCGGCTAATGCCAGGTCTACTTTTATTCTCTTTTCTGTTTTCACACTACTTGGGATACGAACAACGATGGCATGCGTGTACCGCATGTCGACACCGAAACTTCAAAATCTACAAACGCAGAAAAGCCGACCAAATCTTCTTGGAATATTTCAAAACTGACTAATAGGAAAGCTCGTCACTGCTACAATCCGAGGAAAATGTGTATGCTATCTCACATTTGACTCTAATTCTGATAATTTCCAAGCACCTCCACCCATCCGTCAAATCGCAACCGACCGCCATCCCAAACCTTAAATTATTTAGGCACTGCCTCTCCCCTTCTCATATTCCCTTTTTCAACGCATTCATAAATACCAAATTAAGTCTCTACGTTAGAGCTGTTCATTTTAGTCAATGAGTCAATGAATAAGAGAAGCGCAATTTAAGCCTGTTTGGATTACATTTGTCTCGCCCAATTTCATCTTCCAAACGACCCAAAAATATTCAGCCTACAAAGATAAACAACATAAATAACTGACTTTGCCATTTCAACTACTTCACTGCTTTAAAGAATTTAAAAGATTTCAAAGCACACAGTGATAGTGTACGGATTCATTTACCCTCAAAAAATTGGTAATATCTGGGATACAACAAATACATTTATTTATCAAACAGAATGGCTGAATAAATTTTATCCCGACGGACAAATAATTATGATATTCATAATACACCCAGCATATTTCTGTACAAATAAAAAGAAACTTTTAAACAAAAGGCAAGCATAGACCTGGGTAAGAAATTTTTACTTAAACATAACGATATCAATCATCATCATCAATAAGAAATAGCCTCTTACGAGAAAATGTTATCGTTTTTCCACTTATGAAAATCAGTTTTGAAGGAATGGAGAAGGTAATTCGATAATCCGAGTTATTCTCCATTACTATGCTCTTTTCGCCTGGTACAACATAGCTAATAATTGAATATGGTGTAAAATGGAAGTCTTCCTGAAAAATGACAATCACAAAATTTGATGCACTGATAAATTTTTTAGTAAAAAAAGACAAAAATTATTTGGAAAAGTTCATTTTTTCTTTAATTTCACAGGTTTACCTAACTCTTTTTCTAATATGGAAATAAGTTTTTCGTTTTTATTAGCATTCTATATTCTGTGATTATTCTATATTCTATAATCTGAAAAAGCTTCATTCTGTGAGTACTCAAAGCTTTTTGCAGGTATGATCAATGTTAGCATCAATCATACTTCATAATATTCATAAAATCACTCCTATTCCAATTTTTCGCAAATACATCACTACATATTTCGCACACGCTGAGATCTTAAGCTAAGTGATGGTGCAAACTGACTGAACTTGTTCGTTTTCTTTAACACAGGTATCTCTGATTTCCTTATATTTGCTCTAATCAAAGAGTTTCACATATAATGAAATTATTTGTAAGTTCCTTAGCATATGAAATGTATTTCTTAGCAGAATTTACTTTCAGATATCCATCGAGAATTAACTTTGCAACCAAAAGTTCGATCAATTCTCGATTTACGGAACTAATTTTCTTCCAAGTTAACTCCACCAGCTTCATGCCCGTTATACGACCGCTATCAGTTTTTTGAACCTTAATAATAAAAAAAGTAAATTTTGGAAAAATATCACTGGAAACGGAATAAATCAGTGAAAATGGTCAGATTTGTTTTTAACTCATAAACAGAAGAATTTCTTCTTTGAATTGCCTAGATCAGATTACTATCACGACTTGTTTGATTCACCATATAAACCACTGATTTTTTTTGGAGGGAGAACTCCGTGTGCAAATTTAAGAGTTATACTAGTGAAAACACATGTTTAAATTTATTATACGTAGACATACACTTTTCAACACTTTCAACATCACTCGCCAATAATCGGTCACATCCACACGTTCAATATCATTAGCTTGAGAACATATATCACACATCTTGACACACATTGATGAATTCCATTCCACATTGAAATGCTCAGCTATTACTGAGCGTCGACATTCCGATGACTGTAAACAATTTTAAAAATAAAAATCACAGAATTATTTCGAAGTAAAATAAATAAAATTTAATAAGTAAAAAGTTAATGTCTTACGAAATAAATGATTTGTCTAATTTTTTCAATAGCTTTTAGAAATGAAAAGCACTAACTGAGATATGGTCCTTTTATTTTCAAAACTATTGTGAAGATCTGAACTAAGTGGTAGATACCGCTTGAAAAAAAACTGAAAATCTCCCTTATAATAATTTACAATGCGTTCTCTCATTATTTTCAACTTAGTTATTCTAGCTGTTCCTTGCGGACTTAAATGCATAGCTGAAATCAAATCCCAACATAAGAAAATAAAAAGCGGAATATAAATTTCGCACATAACAAAAGAGAGAAATTTGGAAGTTAGTCCAATCATAGTACATAGTATTGCACCGTTCCACGTTCTCCGTAATACTTTTAATTAGAACAAAGCCTCTGCTTAAATAAACTAAGCAAAATACATTATACCTGAGTACAATAGGATAATACGGAATATAAATTCCGTACACCAGTTTTTTCCGTGCAAACCATTGTACTTTGCCGAAAGAGATCATTTAAACGATAATACAAGATACAATACGCTTTATTACCATCTCGTCCGACACGCCCACTTTCCTTAATAACAGATGAAAATCCAGATTGGACATTAAACAAATCATAATATTTATAAATTCAATTAAGGTAAATAACATAGATTCATAAGAATAAAACGAAATAAGATTTTATTTCCTTTTACAGAATCTATTTTCCCAACAATGACTTTTCCTGAAAAAAAACAAAAAATTTCATTATGCTGAAAAACATTATACTAATTTGGATTACTTAGTTGGAAAGTTAGTTTAAACAGTTCAGTATAACAGAACTTTAATCAGGCATAATGAAACGTTTAGTGACTTAACAGCAGCACAAAACATATCATTCTTATTAAATAGTTAAATTAAAGACTTAAAAGCAAGTGAAGCCGAAAATGAATAAAAAACCCTGCTTTTGTTTACTCAATTCGGTTATCTTCACAATCGCAGTACCTGATAGTAATTCTCCAACGACTTAGGTAAAGAGTGATGTATGACGTAACGAACATCAGGCTTATCAATTCCCATACCTTAATATTTTGTTTTAATCCAAAAAGAAACTTTACTTAGAAGGCATGTAAGTGTTACAAAAACATGCATAAAATTTTAATGGATGTTGTTGAAGAAATGAAAAAATAACCAAAAGCTACTGTCGCTACAATAACATTAATCGCTCCACTCAGCCATTTTTCATGAGTAATGTTCCTTTTATCAGCATCCAGAAAAGCGTGATAATGTGACGCTTTTATACCATTTGTACTATAAATACATCAGTATGAATATCAAACATAACATAAAAGCGGTAGCTCGCATGATCGACAGATTCAGGAAAAAGCTGGTTTCGTGGAAAACAAATGGCAATAGCACCAGCACAAAATACTTTATGGGCCATATGTCAGATACTAAATATTTTTTTTATACAGATCTGAGAAGCTCCTCATGTTCTGCAAAATTATGAATGAAAATGTGTCCGGTGTGAAAGTATACTTCTAAATTGAAAATGAACAGATTACCGCAATGATTTTGTAAGTTCCTCACACTCTTTACGCGAAAAGCAATAAATAATTCCACTGAGCTCCGTAAATCGGGTTTTAATTAGCTTCACCAAAATATCAACGAATTCAACATCAGATGATGGCTTCTGACAAACACTGTAATGCAAATTTGGCCGATTGAAACCAGCGCGGAATTCCACAGCTGCTACAAATAGGTTCAATTAAAAAGCAAAAATTAAGATAAGTATAAGTATTTTTACTATTTTAACAAGCACCACAGAAATACTTTTTTCGTAGTTATTATTAAAAAGTCAAAAAAAATTTATCTAAATAAAAAGAGCAATAAGTAGTTAGAGTCAGCCAATGAACGCTATTTCAAAATTATTCGAAAAATCAACCCATTCAAAATATTTGTTAAATTCTTCATATATCACGGTTTATTAAAAAAATTATAATAATTCCAAATAAAAAAAAGAAAACCTGGAATTCCCAACATGTTTTTCACATCACTAATAACATCAGCAGTGGCTGTAGCAGTTAGTCCAATCAATGGCACGGTTTGAAACTGACGCTTTAAAACATTGAGAAATTTAAAATCTGGTCGAAAATCATGTCCCCATTGCGAGCAGCAGTGTACTTCATCAATTGCAATCAACTGAAATCTCGGAGAAAGTAAGCTTTGAAATTATATAAATAAGTCTCTCTGGAGATGGCAACTATCCCTTATTCTAAAAACACAACATGCTGAGGCACAATAGCAAATTGATATGGAAAAATTTCTCACAGAATATAAGCCGATTTCGTCCATGGTTGGATTTTGATTAATTCAAATCTTTACAAATGAATAACAGTCCCTCAGTCATTGAAAAAATAATATGTGAAATACGTAAAATGACCGAATCGAAATAGCTGCATCATTTTAACAGCAAAAAATTAAGACTTGAAAAATGGAACTAAACTGACTACATTCAACGGCTAACCTTTAATCGCTTCATTTCATTACATTTTTCCAAACGATTCATAATCCGCTTACTTTTTGCCAATTTTTCCGGAGTGACATAAAGTAAACGCAGTGAAGCCTTTGAATCAGTAAGTGCTGCTTGCACTCGACTTATCTATAAATATGTCAAATATTTTTTAATCATAATCATTTTACTAAGAGCTTAAAAAGCTGCGCTTCATTATCAAAGCAGTAAATCCCAAATAATGAATTTAATCAAAGAAACAAGGAGAGAATTGTTTAAAGCAGCTATCGCAGTTTACAGTTTACATGTCAAATTGCACTGTCTGTTGCCTCTATCTCTACTCCCATTTCATCAGACTACATTATTTATCACTTTGGAATTTAAAATTTTCTTTCACTTTCTTCTTATCTCTTAATATCGGCTACTAACCAGATAACAAATTAAAGTAAATGGTTAAATAGTCTATAGAGAGAGTCCCCTTACAGAACATGTAATATTATCGTTAAGAAATATCCTATATGAATTTCCAGAAAGTCCTCCTCACTCTGAAGACTTCCTCACTCTAGTAATGTAGTAGAGTATGAATTAATAGAGATATTGCAAAATTTACAAGAAAAAAAAAATTAAACATTAGTCTTTCCTTATAGGAATAACAAACATTTCGCCTTCCTTAAAGACCTATAAAAAATTGATGGTTAACTGCACAAGGTTCAATCTAAAAATTTTTCCTCTAACGTATTATCAGAATACTTTTTTATAACATCCATTTGTGGAGGGGATTAAATAATGTAGACAAACTTAAATTTCATAAAACATTTCAACGTCGCATACATGCTATAAGCTTGTGGCAAACTCTAACCCTATAACTGAAAAAAAAGATCATTTCGAACCCAAATATCCAACTTGGTGAGTTTAATATTTTCTAGTCAAACATGCATAAAACTCCCTTCAAAAACTTAATGACATAAATTAACTTATCACCTCCTCTTTCGCGGTCATCTGATTAAGCGTTGCTGCATCAATGCCTAGTTTTTTTAACTGATGTAACTGATCTTCGATGAGGGCTACCAAAGGTGATACCACCATTACAATACCTATAAAAACAAAAAAAAGTATAGATACTCAATTTTCTAAGGATTGCATATTGCTTAACTATGCCGTCTTGACATAATTTGAATAAAAAGCTCTAAATAGTTAACCATTCATAACAACAGCAGGCAATTGATAACAAAGACTTTTTCCGCTTCCAGTACTCATCACCACCAAACAGTCCTCCTTCGACAATACCGCATTAATAACAGCTCTGATGAAAAAAATTGGAAATACACACAATGATTAATTGATAGATGCAAACTTCTAAATTTAGCAAATGTTTTACAATAACATGTCCAACAGATTTCCTACTACTAATATTGACAATAGAAGAAGCGAAATTCTGATGAAAAAGAACCTTTGTAGAGGACGAAAGTCATTCAATTTAAAAATATCACGTAATACACGGCGACACTCCTTCACCCATTGAAAGTCATCTGAATCCCAAATCCTAAATGACCTTTCATTGTCAATATTTCGTTCAACTATACGCTTTTCGATCTGTAAAAGTTTCGATCTTTCGATCTGAATCAGAAGAGAAAACTATAATCCTTAAAGAATTGAAACCTTGAATAATTTACTGTGTAATCACTAATGAACCTTCAAAACACTGAGTTTGCGCGAGTTTTTTATAGACACTTCGGTTATTTCAAGATGAACTGTATGCTAATTTAACAATTTACAATAGGAACAACCTGTGCTTTCTTTTCCAGTAACTCGTGTTTCCGTTTTTTCAATGTACATATATCATCTTCGATCCTTTCCAATTCTTCATCCAGCTTTGACAACTCCATCGAAAATTTCGCTCCCAGTGGTGCTGGAGCTTCCATTATCATTCATGGAGAGAAATAACTCTAGTGCCACTAAATAACAGTATGACTTACAAATAGTAAGAATTGAGAGACACACTCTTTCCCTCTCTTATCCTGCGGCTTATTGCTCATACCAACATCTAGCCAACATCCAAAAACGGCCAACAGTAACCGCAAAATACCACACACTCCTTCTCTTTCCGGAGTGATATGTTCAGGAAGATGTAGAATACACGTATTCATGTAAGTGGTATTTGGGTGGGGGACGTTAAGTTAAATGTTGATATTGCTTCACCTCAGAAGAATAGTTGCAAAATTGGGGAGTGCTTTTCATTCGAATCTGAGAACGAACAATTGGCTAACCCTATTGGTGCAGCGGTATCACTGATTATCGTAAGCAACTTTTCGACATATCAGTAGTTGTTTTGAAGTATAATATTCGTTCACATGCATCCTTACGAAACAGTCGGAATTCTAATTGCTTCAGCGTCAAGTTGGAGTAGCTGGGGAAAATGGTATCTGTTTACCTCAGAAAAACACACAGCAATCATTCAGTATGTTTAATGAATATTATCTTTATTTTTTGCAAAATAGTTGTGCTCAAATCCCTTTTTGGCTTCGTTTCAAAATGCAATTTTTGAAATATATTTACAGACTTTCGTTGGATATGTAAGTAGCACTGAATTTATTGACAGTTTTGCCAATAAAAATTTTTCGATATTTAATAATAAATTCGGATGATAAGACCACTATCTTATTGAAAAGGTTAAACCTTTGCTCTGATAATTCTCAGATGTGAATTCAGGTCTTTACCAATAATGACGATCGTAATTTTGCCTGAACGATTGTCTTTGTCATAGTTGTACTCGGTGATCACCATGATTTTTCAACCCGTCATGATGCTTTGGATGTGATGACAAAGTTCTAACACAAGTTTTTGGTAGAAGGTGAAATTTCATATGTAGTTAAATGGTAATGCAAAAAATACTTCTATTATTGAAATAAAATAAAAACACTGTGAAATAATAAATAAAATATGAATAAAAGTTATAGAAAGAACAGAGAACAATTCCATTGACTTTCGGATTCTTCTTCAAAATCGTATTCCTAAACAGTGGAACGATATAAGTAATATTTTTTAATATCAGTGCGTAATCTTACTCCGTTCCTTTCGTCTCATCGTTCTCCTTTGATGCTTACTCTTTTTTCTTGTCTCTTGAAAGTTCATCATTCTTCAACTTCTGGACTAAAGGTTAAACTAATAAGATCGTGAAATTTCAAGCCCGAAAAATCAGGCAAAATATACATACACATCAGCTAACATAACAGTGGGAGGCTATAAAGTATACACGTATGAAAAGAGAGATATCGGGAAATATGATTGAATATGAATGAAGAAATGGTTAGAGAAGTTAGGATGATCACCCTTAGGTAAATTAGGATGATCCTCCCTGCATCTGATTCCACTCGTGGAAGTCAATAAATTTAGGTACAATTTCCGGATGATTCTATATAAAAATAAGTAGAAATACAGCTTCTTATGGAACATTTCACTTTGCAAGTCTCAGTTAGCTTTCTTTTAGAAAAAACTTCATTGAAATAGTTCTAGTATGGAACAAATTTGAGTAATTGAAGATTAGCAAGTTATAAAGATGGACTGTTTTATTTAAAACCTAGCCATACAATAGTTTTTTTATTTTGAAGTGTTCAAATATTTCTAATCAGAGTATGAGGTGACGCTAGAAATGTTTCCTTGTAATAACAGTTCATCTATTATATGACTAGGATGATGTATGACGAGATGACTTTGTACCACCACTGGTGAAAACCATATTCTTCCTGATAATACCATTTTGTTCATCCTAAAAAACATTTTACTGAGGAAAATAAGTCTGAAGCTTTCGTGACAAAATGAGGTATTATGATAAGCAGATAACATGAAACAGCTGAGGTAAATATGAATTTGATTACTAATAGAGAAGTTGAATATTAATATTCTGACCCTATGTAAAATTATTATACGGTAGGTAATTGATCGTAATATGGGCCAAGAGATTGTTTTTGACCAGAAACGTTCCCGCGAAGTCCAAACTCAATATATATTGTCATATATTAACTGAGCCTAAATTTGTTTTTTTTTTTCATTCTTTAATTTTTGTTCCAGACATATAGGTGTAGAAAAATCTAGACTCATATATGTGAAGTAAAAACTAAAAAGAAAAGAGTGGTATTCTTGACCATTCAATCACATTTGCTTCTCTTTCGATTACGTGAAGAACAAAGTGACCAATCGTATCTTACCTGAACATTATTATCTAATGGAGGAATTATAACATTGTTCAGAATTTTTCGTGGTCTTCTCTGTTCTCCATCTAATGAATTGTTATGTGAGATTCGGTGAACTTGAAGTGTGCGCGATTGGCAGAATCCTTTCTGGCATATATCACACTTGAATGGTTTATCCTTCGAATGAATAAATCTGAAGATAAAGAGGGTAAAATGTGATTTGAAGTGCAAAAAGGTCATTAAAAAATGTTGGGTAATTGCGAGCCTTTTACCTATTACCTTTTACGGGTTTGTTGCGCACATCATTTTGATAGTTTTACTGGTGTATGGGGAAGGAAGCGGAAAGGTAGCCATAACTAAGCAAATTGTGAATATGGAAGAACTCTACTGATCACTGATTAATAAATAAGCAGAACGAAGATATAACTACACTAAGAAAAAATTTTAAAGATTTTTCATATAGTACACATCTGAACTCGGTAGCAGGTACTATATTGGTTTACCTATTTAAGTACTGGCTACCGCACTTATTGGTATACCAATTTTGCTAACTCACCTTCATAGATTAAACAATGGAAAAAATGAAATTTTGAAAAAACAAAAAAACCTGTGGTCTCGCAGATGATCTTGGCGACGAAAGGCTTTACCACAAATATCACAGTCATATGGTCGCTCGTCGGTATGCGTACGTTCATGTATTAATAAATTATATGATTTGGTAAAATGGCGATTACAAAATTTACAAATGAACTCTTTCTTTGGACGAGTTCCTCTACCGGTATTACGTTTTGGCAATAAAAACCTAAAACCAAATATCGCTAAAGTAAAGAGATACTTGATCTACAGTAGTAAATTTAATCTATATTTGCTCGGCTACTATTTCTGAAATTGGGAATTATTCTTCCTCTATGCCTAAGCTTAAATATTTAGCAGTTAAGTGAATTTGAATTGGAAGCAAACTCACCATGGTTTGTTAAAGTCATTAGTGGAAGTGGCGAATGCAGTTGATGTGTTTGGTAAACAACGTTGTGCTAATCCGTCAGTGTGTTTTATAACTTTCGCCATCTAAAATTGATAAAAACAGAAAAAAGATGTAATCGAACCAAAACAACACTGGTTAGAGAACAGAATTTCTTTTTAAGACAAGTGTAGAAGTTGAAGAAATGAATTAATTTATGAAAAGTCCTACTATTACGCTTAAAAACGGCAAAATATTTTAACTCGATTTAGTTTTTTCTCTTTTCTTTTTCTACTTTATGCATTCTAATCCTCAATTCTTCCTTTCAGACTAAAGCTGTTTAATTCAGGAGAAAAGTGCCAGAGAAATCTAAGTGCATAGAATGAAATTTAATTTTTAATTTTTAACTTAGGTCTTAATTTCAGTCCTTTATAGGCAAAGCTGAAGTTATTCATTTTTGAATTTACTTTTCAAAATTGGCAAAGCTGAAGTTATTCATTTTTGAATTTACTTTTCAAAATTATTTAAATAGTTTTGAAATCAAATAATAACACACTAATTACTTGTAAAGTATTTTGCTTCCTCAAACCCACCTTGTTTTCATTCTCAATGCTTTTAGCAAGCTGAGTGAAATCGAATTTCGGATGATCGTTGCATGGCATTACTAATGCATTTCCGTTTTTGTCTTCTATTGCTCCTTTCGTTGTCATTTGTTGATTAAAATGGATCACTCGCTGCCTCTGAAGTATCACTGATGGATCACAGTGGACTCTTAAAGTGATCAATACTCAAAATTTGTTAGTAACTAGTGATCATTAAGATTAATCATTAATGGTCACTAATGTTTAGCGAGATTATTAAAGTGGTTGCTGTTAAATCGATTTCGCTTCGCCATTTTCATCTGCCTACCTATAGTCATCTATTTTCCAGAAATAGTTTTTCGTTTGTGAAATAAAGTTGAAATTTAAACAATAATGTTTACTTACTTTTTCGCTTATCAAAGTGATTCTGTTTGATAGAAGATATTAGAGATGAATTTAAAATTGTTACAACAAAAACCAACCTGCGCATTAACCGAAATGTGTGCGAGCATCATTTGTCGATATAAATGCACATAATAACGATTCCACTGCTCGTTGGTATAATGATTCGGAAAAATAGTTGGTGGCGGTGGTACCGAATGAGTTGGCTGTTGGATTCCAGTTAGTGATAGGAAGCCATTGAATGGATAGAACACATGAAGAGGACGCATTCTAATTTCTGCAATCGCGCGATTTTGTAGCATCCGAAAACGTGTCAACTTCGCCACTATTCCTGGAAAGTTAATGCAACCATAAGATATTACACCTTTCAGTGTAGGAAAGCAAAGAATTTTTAAAATCACTCATAAACTAATTTAATTTAGTAAACGTCATGGATTTGCAGGTGAGAAATCCTAAACTCGTCCAAATTCTCAGCATTTTCTCAGGAATTAAAACTAGTTCAACGCAATTATTTTTACCAAAGGAATCTGAATCGCTAAAATTTTCCGATAACCATACTTGTATGCTATTTAATGATTCTCAATTATAGACATTGAAAATGTAAGACTGATATGACTGACAATTACTGTTATAAAATATGTCGGCACACTTTGTGGCTTTTTTTAAACCGTTTATTTTACATGTGTATATGAGCTGTGTAGTCGTCATATGTTTGTATGTCCGCAAATAACCATATATCTGTTTTTACGTGTATATGTTTGCCTGTCACTAAGCTTTTCGATATCTTTGCGTAAAAGTTACAATAGTATATAGAAGGCGGCAAAGATGAAACGTTATATGTTGCTGCTGATGCATTGGATGATATGTCAAGTGATTAGAATAGAGTTATTCATTCCGAGATACCAATCATTATCATAGTGACAACAACCATTTCAAAACAGCTGCACAAAAAAACCTATACACTGCCATGCATCATACACTTTCACATACATAAGCACGGAATATACAGAAATATACGCATATACATATATATATACTTTAACGATGCACTACAATGCAAGTTTTTCGGAAATAACATCTAACTTTAGCTGTTAAGAAATTACGGCAGGTTGTATGAGAGATTGCAACACTCCAACCTATCGTATAAATCGTGGAATTTTCAAAATTTAATTTCTTCTTTTAAATACCATAACTCTGAAATTTCAAAAAAATAGTGATGCTTTTCGATAGTAGTCTGATCCTCTTTAATATCATAGGAGAAAAATCGTGAAGTTTTCTGTAAAAGTATTAGCAATAATAAATGTGAAATGTTTCCTTCCTTCTCCCATCTTACTACGATTTATACGCCAACAAAATTTACAACGATGGAAAGTGATAAAGAAAAGCGGTTTACAGGATTTCACACAATTATAATCGATCATAGCTCAAATCAAATGATCCAACCAATAATAGCATATCACTTCTACCTGTCTTCTCTTTTATAATTTGTATGAGAACTTGGGTTTACTTGCCCTTTATGATAACATGTAGTTTTTTGTTATTTTATATACCACTAATGAATAAATCTGTTTTCAAATGATTGAAAAGATAAATATGAAGGCTTTCAACGGATGAAATCCATTGAAAGCGAAGATGAAACTATCTTGACACACACACACACACACACACACACATATATATATATATACACACACACACACATATACATATATATATACACACACACACACACACACACACACACACACACTGATTAATGCATGGAGAAGAGATGAAAGCGGGGGTAGCAGCAGGAAGAGAATTGTGCGGCGCTATCTTTTGATCGTTTAAAAACCAAACACTGAATGATAGCAATAAGAGAAACTCTTCCGTACATAAATATAGTGCTAAAATTTGCTTCTGATTTGAATGCTTCACAAAAGCAAACGAGACCACTCCTCCATGCGAAGCATCAAAACAGATGAAAGGATGAAGCCGACGATACTTTGACATCCTACATTGATTCCTTCACACACCCACATCTTCCGCATCTAACCGATCCTTCAGATGCCTGACCATTGCTATATTATGCTCATTTTTATTCCTTTTCATTTTCAATCACGGAATGAAAAGCATTCACCACCATCAACTTTTACTTATCGTTACTTTTTTACACCGTGCTAAATGAAGAAAGAAGAAGTATGGAAAGTTTTTGACAAATTCTAGACAAATGAAAAACTTGTTAGGCCTTTTTTGCGCTATTTTCCAAATGTTAATTTATCCCTTTCACACAAAAAATATTATTGCTTTCAGAAAAATTCAAACTTATCAAAAATATTAGGAAAAAATACCTATAAGATTCAAAACTTGCAATCAGATTTCAAATTCAAAAATATCTCGAATCACAAATTTTCATTAATTGTTTCTCTTTGAATTCGAAAAAAGAAAATGATTTAAAAGATTCAATAAAATTAAAAAAGTAATGCAAAAAAAACGACTAACGAACTATTATATACTAACAAGAATCTTATCAAATATTTCCTATCATATCCAATGAATGTAATTTATGTATCACTAATTATCATTACCTTTAGTAATTTTTACTATAAATTTGTGTAGAGTTAAGGTAAGCTGAATAAGCTAAGATTAATTCATATATTAAGTGGTTAATTTAACTCTTGAAATACTTCCAGGTATATTCCGAAAAGTATACATCTTATTCTAACTTAGGCAATGATGAAACATTATTCGACTAGAACTTAATACACGATCCAAATTCAAGTTTTTACAGTTAAAAATGACAGAACGAAGAATAATCAAAAAACAGCTACTTGAATTATTCATACTCACTTCAAATTGAACTGAATTAAATTTCTATTGCATCCTTCCTGTTTACAACGAACAATCACAGCACTTATCAGTTATTTATAATTGTTTAGTAAATGATAAAATATTTTGCACCACTTTTCAAATATTTTCACCACAGTAATTATTATCAAATTATTATCAAATTGTTATCAAATTATATTATTATCAAATTGCTTCCAAGATTGAATAATTTTTATAAAACGGATATTAAATTCGAAGAATAAATTAAACTCTCTCAATATTTAACACTTTAAATTAATTCACACGTCATCTTGGAATCTAAAAATAAAGAATTTGCAAGCATTCTTTACAATATTACTTTTTATTAAAACTTCTTTTAAATTTGGTTCTTCTCAAAACTTTCAGTATCATTTGAAATCATTTCAATGTACAAATTGCTGAGTTAGACAAATTCATCGCACATGAATGTAATAATAGTACAAGCGCAAATGGTCTATTCCAAGATGAAAAAAGATGTTGTATGAAAATGTTGATAATGATAACAACATTGTCATTTTGATAGTAAGTAGTAAAATTATAACAAAATAAATGAAAAAATAGGATAGCAAGAAATAGAGAGGGAAATAATGAGAAAAAATTTATATGAAAATAAAATTACAAAGAATTAAATTGAAAAGGAGAGATAACGAATTGATTGCTAATATTTATGATAATATTTATCACATGCAAAAACAAAATTGTGACAGCGAACAGAAAAAAACGCCTCATAAAAATAAATGAAATTTTTTGAAATGAAGTTAAATGGAGTAAATTGAAATTTTATGTTAAAAGAATTCCTTCATCATTTAACTCATTTTTGAATAGGATATTTTGTTAAATGTAGATAATCGTATCATATGATCTTCCTATCATATCTTATGCAATTTATACCAGCGGTGAAATCCTTTTGAAATTGATATAATTGCTAAATGGAGATATTCATTCTATTGCAAACATACGAAAATTGAAGTTAAATTTGAAATAAAAAACTAAAAACTACAACTTAGTGACACAGTTAATGACTATGACTTCTTTAGTCTTATGATAATGGTAATTGAAGAATACTTTTATATGCATTAAGAATTTATAAATTAAACCAAATTAATAAAAAATATCAAAAATAAAGGGTAAACTATGATTTAAATTTACTAATTCTAAGAGTTTCCTTGAATTTCTTCGCTTATTAAAGAATTATTTTTCAGTGAAAGTTTTCAATTTAATTGAAAATTTTTCTCGTCAAAATTATTAATTTAATAATTAATTAATAACAATTACCTTTAAATTATTTAATTCAGGAGTAATTTATTTGAAAATTACTCAGAATTACTCTAGTTTACATTTCAACTATAAACAAATATTCAACAATTTCAATTACTTTTTAAGTAGAAAAATTCGCAAAAAAAATGTCAAAAATTTTCATACAGTATTTGAAACAATTCCACAAAATTATTCCCACCTTCTTCGCTTTCCTCATCCGCCCATTTCGCTTCCATACTTTCGTTGCTTATCGAATGAAAATGATAATCCGATAATAGACTGCTGAAGTTGAAAAATGTGGATTGACAAAAGCCCTGGAGCATAAAGACGGACAGACAGACAAATCGACGAAATGGAAAGATTTGTTGAGAAAGTGTGAATTAGTCACACCAATAGCGACGAACACATCTACTGGTTGGTAGTAGTAGCCGCTCATTGTAACGGCAGCAACGGCGCCACAGATACTTATCTACCTACCGTATCCTTTCAGGAACGCCTACTGGTTAATAGCAGCACGAAATCAACTCCACCCATTTTGCTACTTCATGTTAGAAAAAAATTTCGAAATATTTTATTAAATTTTTAAGATCTCAAATTATTGCTAATCCATCGAAAAATTCAATCTTATCTGTTAAAAAGTGTATGCTAATTAGATTTAAGAGAAAGCACAAGTTTGATAAGCAATAAAATCGGAATAAATAGGAAAATTCATATAGCATATAATTTATTTATTAGCAAAAATTTATTGCAAGCTATCAAAAAGTTTAATGAATAAATGAATCAAATGAAATATTCCCACAATTAATATTGTAAACTAAAAACTTACCTGTAATTTTATTTAGTGCTATAAACAATGAACGACACGACTTGCATAACTAATAAGTAAGTAATCATACAATAAAATAAGTTCCTAAATGATATAATGAAAAGATAAGTATGACGTAAATCACCAATGAATTGCTTAGTAGGCCACTCAACTTACTGAAAGTATACTTCAATCATAACAACCTACAATACTTAATCAAACAACACTCACGACCAGAATGCCAGAAGCGGTGGATGGAACATTTAGTTCATTGTGTTTTTAAATATTTTGATGAGTAATTGTATCATCTGACGGAATCACAATTGCTTTTAAATATTTATTGCAATTCATATTAATCAATTAAAAATTGGCAACGCTGATTTCTGGTAATAT